GTAGATCATCATTCCTGTCATGTAGATCATCATCCATGTCAGGTAGGTCATCACACATGTAAGGTAGATCATACCTGTCAGGAAGGGCATCACGTCACACATGTCAGGTAGGTCATCACGCATGTCCGGTAGGTCATCATCCATGCCAGGTAGGTCATCACACATGTCAGGGAGGTCATCATACATGGCAGGTAGATCATCATACCTGTCGGGGACGTAGATCATAGATCATCACACATGTCAGGTAGGTCATCACACCTGTCAGGTAGGTCATCACACATGTTCGGTCGACCATCATACATGTTGGGTAGATCATCATACATGTCAGGTAGATCATCATACCTGTCAGGTAGGTCATCACACATGTCAGGTAGATCATCATACCTGTCAGGAAGGTCATCACACAGGTCAGGTAGGTCATCACATATGTCAGGTAGGTCATCACACATGTCAGGTAGATCATACTAGTCCGGTAGGTCATCGCACATGTCAGGTAGATCATACATGTCAGGAAGGTCATCACACATGTCAGGTAGGTCATCCCACTTGTGAGGTAGGTCATCACACATCATCACACATGTCAAATAGGTAATGCAGATCATTACACATGTGAGGTAGGTCTTCACACATGTCAGGTGGATAATCATGTCAGGTAGATCCTCACACCTGTCAGGTTGGTCATCATGCATATCATGTAGGTCAGGTAGGTCATCGCACATGTCAGGGAGATGATCATACATGTCAGGTGGATCATCATACCTGTCATGAAGGTCATCATACATGTTAGGTAGATCATCACACCTGTCAGGTTGGTCATCATGCATATCATGTAGGTCAGGTAGGTCATCTCACATTTCAGGTAGATCATCACCCCTGTCAGGTAGGTCAGGTAGGTCATCCCACATGTCAGGTAGCTTATCACACATGTCAGGTTGGTCATCATGCATATCATGTAGGTCAGGTAGGTCATCCCACATGTCAGGTAGAACATCACACATGTCAGGAAGTTCATCATGCATGTCTGACAGGTTATCACACATGGCAGGTATATCATCATACCTGTTGGGTCGTAGATCATCATGCATGTCAGGGAAATCATCATACATGTCAGTGAGGTCATCATACCTGACATGTGTGCTGATCTACCTGACATGATTATCCACCTGACATGTGTGAGGATCTCCCTGACATGTATGATGTCAATTATTACCTGATCCATAGGGGAAAAAACATCAAATATCTGTAATATATCAATACATATCATCAACTAACATGGGTGATGTCTGTCATCTCCGTAGCGACAGGTATGATGAGCTACCTGACATGTGTAATGACCTACCTGACATTTGTGATGACCTACCTCACAAGTGGGATGACCTACCTTGCAGGTTTAATTACCTGACATGTGTGCTGATCTACCTGCCATGTGTGATGATCTGCCTGACAGGAATGATGATCCACCTGACATGTGTGATAACCTACCTGACAGGTATGATAACCTACCTGAAATGTGTGATGGCCTACCTGACATGTATAATGATCTACCTGAAATGTGAGATGACCTACCTGACATGTCAGGTAGGTCATCATACATGTCAGGTAGATCATCACATATGTCAGGTAGGTCATCACACATGTCAGGTAATCATACCTGTAAGGTAGGTCATCACACATGTCAGGTAGATCATACCTGTTAGGTAGATCATCACACATGTCAGGTAGGTCATCACACATGTCAGGTAGATCATCACACCTGTCAGGTAGGTCATCACACATGTTGGGTAGATCATACCTGTCAGGCAGATCATCACACATGTCAGGTAGGTCATCACACATGTCAGGTAGGGCATCACACATGTCAGGTAGATCAGCACACATGTCAGGTAGATCATCATACTTGTCAGGTAGGTCATCATACATGTCAGTAAGGTCATCATACCTGTCAGGTAGGTCATCATACATGTCAGGTAGATTGTCACACATGTCAGGTAGGTCATCACACATGTTGGGTAGATCATCATACATGTTGGGTAGATCATCATACATGTCAGGTAGATCATCATACATGTCAGGTAGGGCATCACACATGTCAGGTAGGTCATCATACATGTCAGGTAGGTCATCACACATGTCAGGTAGATCATACTGTCCAGTAGGTCATCACACATGTCGGGTAGATCATACCTGTCAGGTAGGTCATCCCACTTGTGAGGTAGGTCATCACACATGTCAGGTAGGTCATCATACATGTCAGGTAGATCATCATACCTGTCGGGTACGTAGATCATCACACAGGTCATGTAGATCATCATACCTGTCAGGTAGATCATCATGCATGTCAGGTAGATCATCATACCTGTCGGGTACGTAGATGACAGACATCACCCATGATAGGTGATGATATGTAATGATGTATTACAGATATTTAATGTTTCTTCCCCTACGGATCAGGTAATAATTGTCACCATACATTTTAGGTAGATTATCCCACATGTCAGGTAGGTCCTCACACATGTCAGATACCTGTCAGGTAGGTCATCCCACATGTCAGACATGTCAGGTAGGTCGTCATACATGTCAGGTGGATCATCATACCTGTCAGGTCGATCATCCCACTTGTGAGGTCGGTCATCACACATGTTGGGTAGATCATCATACCATACCTGTCATGTAGGTCATCATTCCTGTCAGGTAGGTCATCACAGTAGATCATCATACATGTCAGGTAGATCATCATACCTGTCGGGTATGTAGATCATCACACATGTCAGGTAGATCATCATACCTGTCAGGTAGATCATCATACAGGTCAGGAAGATCATCATACCTGTCGGGTACGTAGATGACAGACATCACCCATGTTAGGTGATGATATGTATTGATGTATTACAGATATTTGATGTTTCTTCCCCTACGGATCAGGTAATAATTGTCATCATACATGTTAGGTAGATTATCATACATGTTAGGTAGATCATCATACATGTCAGGTAGGTCATCACACATGTCAGTTAGGTCATCATACCTGTCAGGTAGGTCATCACACATGTCAGGTAGGTCATCACACATGTCAGGTAGGTCATCACACATTTCAGGTAGGTTATCACACATGTCAGGTAGATCAGCACACATGTCAGGTAGATCATCACACATGTCAGGTAGATCATCATACCTGTCAGGTAGATCATCATACATGTCAGGTAGGTCATCACACATGTCAGGAAGTTCATCATGCATGTCAGATAGGTCATCACACATGTCAGGTAGGTCATCACACATGTCAGGTAGGTTATCACACATGTCAGGTAGATCAGCACACATGTCAGGTAGATCGTCACATATGTCAGGTAGATCATCATACATGTCAGGTAGGTCATCACACATGTCAGGTAGTTCATCATGCATGTCAGATAGGTCATCACACATGTCAGGTAGATCATCACACATGTCAGGTAGATCACCACACATGTCAGGTAGATCATCATACAGGTCAGGAAGATCATCATACCTGTCGGGTACGTAGATCATCACACATGTCAGGTAGAGATATTTGAGGTTTCTTCCCCTACGGATCAGGTAATAATTGTCATCATACATGTCAGGTAGATTATCTACCTGACATGTCAGATAGGTCATCACACATGTTAGGAAGGTCATCACACATGTCAGGTAGGTCATCACACATGTCAGGTAGGTCATCAGACATGTCAGGTAGATCATCACACATGTCAGATAGGGCATCACACATGTTAGGAAGGTCATCACACATGTCAGGTAGGTCATCATACATGTCAGGTAGATTATCTACCTGACATGTCAGATAGGTCATCACACATGTTAGGAAGGTCATCACACATGTCAGGTAGGTCATCACACATGTCAGGTAGGTCATCACACATGTCAGGTAGTCCATCATGCATGTCAGGTAGATCATCACACATGTCAGGTAGTCCATCATGCATGTCAGATCATCATACATGTCAGGTAGTTCATCATACATGTCGGGTAGATCATCACACATGTCAGATAGGTCATCACACATATCAGGTAGGTCATCACACATGTCAGATAGGTCATCACACATGTCAGGTAGGTTATCACACATGTCAGGTAGGTCATCACACATGTCAGGTAGGTCATCATACCTGTCAGGTAGGTCATCACACATGTTAGGTGATGATATGTATTGATGTATTACAGATATTTGATGTTTCTATTTCTTCCCCTACTGATCAGGTAGTAATTGTCATCATACATGTCAGGTAGATTATCATACTTGTCGGGTACGTAGATCATCATACCTGTCAGGTAGATCATCATACCTGTCAGGTAGATCATCATACATGTCAGGTAGATCATCACACATGTCAGGTAGGTCATCACACATGTCAGGTAGATCATCATACCCGTCAGGTAGATCATCATACATGTCAGGTAGTTCATCATACATGTCAGGAAGGTCATCACACATGTCAGGTAGATCATCACACATGTCGGGTAGATCACCATACAGGTCAGGAAGGTCATCACACATGTCAGGTAGATCATTATACCTGTTGGGTACGTAGATCATCATACCTGTCAGGTAGATCATCATACATGTCAGGTAGGTCATCACACATGTCAGGTAGATCATCATACATGTCAGGTAGATCATCATACCTGTTGGGTACGTAGATCATCATACCTGTCAGGTAGTTCATCATACATGTCAGGTAGATCATCATACATGTCAGGTAGATCATCATACATGTCAGGTAGATCATCATACATGTCGGGTACGTAGATCATCATACATGTCAGGTAGATCATCACACATGTCAGGTAGATCATCATACCTGTCGGGTACGTAGATCATCACACATGGAAGGTGATGATATGTACTGATGTATTACAGATATTTGATGTTTCTTCCCCAGCTACTGATCAGGTGTACAGTATCAATCAAGTCTATTAAACTATAAACTATGACTGTTTAACCAATGTCTTTATTGTTTCAGTATGGATGGTGCTGACCTTTGCTTTGAGATTGTGAAGAGAGCGTCGCTGGGCTTTGTTTACAGTGAAGCCGTGGCCAGGTAATTTTACTTCATAAGTATAAACTAGGATTTCACAAAGGTATGAACAACCTCCTGTTTACTGAATAAGTGTAAACAAATAAACATAATGACTCAAAAGTAAATATCTATAATTTGACAAAACAAAAATATCCCAACCTTACATGAATAGCTAGCTTGGTAAGTCAAAACCTGAAAACTAACACTTTCACAGAATTGGGAATTAAAATTAAAACTGCAAGTCTGCTTCTTTTGACAAGAAAGTGGTTGTGTTTTGTGATATCCAGTATGATAATTTTCATACCCCTATATTTGGGTTTTTGGGGTGTACCGGAACCAACTTTTCTGTTTGTCTAAAAGGGAGTTCATCTGGATAATTTTTTATTTTTTAAACAATTTCATTGACTTTTTTGAGACATTCTCTGCCTGACTACTTAATTATGTAACTCAAGTTTGATGAGGTCCACATGCCTCTTATTTTGTACATAAGAGTACACTTTTTATTGACTGATAAACTTTGTTAAGTTTCAAAATTCAAGATGGCCACATGATGGCCTCTTATTAGCTGAGATAAACATGGTTGTAACTTGAGTTCTGCTAGGCCTACACATACTTTTTGAAATTTCCATGTGGGAGATTCTGCATGCAAAAATTTAAAACGTGAATAAAATGTGTGTATATATTCCCCTAGGGACCAAATAACCATTTAAAATGAATATTTTGAGTTCTAGCTTTCAGATGAAATCATTAGATCTTAGAATTTGGGAATTGTTTAGCAAATCATTGGTTGAAAATGCTAAATTTAAGGGTCCAAATCGGGGGGGGGGGGGGGGTCTCTCTCTCTGTAATAGGGAGGGTTGGCAAGTATGCCTACATTGTTGATATTTTGTGTCAGTGTGTGAAAGCTAAACTTAATGTTTAGTAGCTAATTTTTAGCTCACCTAGGCCCTTCAATTTTTAGCTCACCTAGCCCGAAGGGCCATGTGAGCTTATGCCGACTATTGCGTCAACTTTTTCTTTTGAACCATTTCTTCGGAAGAACTGGAGGACCTAGGGTCATGATATTTGGCCAGTAGGTACCTGGGATGGAGTGCTATAACGTTTCCTCATTTAAATGACCTTGACCTTCTTTCAAGGTCACAGGGGTCAAATATGTTAAAAACTTCAAACAATAATATCCTAAGAGCCATTTGAACCAGTCATGATACATGAGTATGTTATGTAGACCAGCAGTGCAAATCTTTTCCTTAATTACAGTAATGAGGTCAAAGGTCAACTTTATGTGCTAGTTGGGGGAGGGGGGGGGGGTCAAACGTTAACATTTTCCACATTAAAATGACCTTGAACTACTTTCAAGGTCACAGGGGTCAAATATGTTAAAAATTTCAAACAATATCCTAAGAAGCATTATCTCATAATCATGATGCTTGGGTATGTTATGTAGACCAGCTGTGTAAATCGTTTTCTTTATTACAGTAATGAGGTCAAATTTCAACTTTAAGTGCTAGACAGAGTCAAAAGTCAACGTGGGTTAAAAGCTTTAAAATTAAAATTTCAAACAACAATATCTTAAGAACCGTTTTAGAGATGTTAAAATGTCTTGTGTTCTAGTTACCAAATTTGGTCTGAAGTTACCTTTATGTCAGTTTCATGTAACAAAAGAAACAGGCGAGCAATACAGGCCCTGTGGGCCTTTTATTAAGTTTGTGATTAAGATGGCCAACATGACCTTTGATTGGAAAAAAATCATGATTATAAATTAAGTTGAGAATATGTTGAAATATGTTTTTTAATCAGTCTGTTATATTATTTCTTTTTGTCATCTGGCTATTGGAATATTTTGTATGTCCTGTTTCATCAATATTCTTTGAATAAATGGAAAAGTTAATACTTTGGAAGACCTGACGCCGTGTGCTATCAGTAAAATAACCTAAGGTAAAATCTGAAAAGAGATCATGATGATATTGGTTTTCACCAGCAAAATATTTAAGTATGATGTTTCCCCTACTTTATGCCAAGGAATCATTGACGGTTTTATCAGAGGAAATAGTGGACGCATCAAAATAAAACTTTTCCCTGTTTAAGGATCCCCGTTCCACTGCCAAAATCTGTAACTATACTTTTAAAACTGTTTTTTTTCCCGCTTTCATAGATCATTTCTGAAAAAAACCTTTGCAGGACTTTTATGAAAAGATAAAATTAAAAAAAAATCTGAGTGTAAAATTTTAGGGGATGGGGGGCTAAACTTTGGATTCAAACCATGAACAAAGAATGTTATACTAATTGCTCTAAGCGACTGAGCTCTATGGTCAACAGAAGTATCCAGGCCCAGCTGTGTTCATTGTATCCAAAACAAAATTAAGGGGAGGTTGCTGTTCATACACTGTTCATACCATATCCACTTTGCTGTGGGACAGGAATATTTAAGGGGAGGTTGCTGTTCACACACTGGTCATACCATATGCACTTTGCTGTGGGACAGGAATCGTTAAGGGGAGGTTGCTGTTCACACACTGATCCTACCATATCCACTTTGCTGTGGGACAGGAATCTATAAGGGGAGGTTGCTGTTCACACACTGGTCATACCATATGCACTTTGCTGTGGGACAGGAATCGTTAAGGGGAGGTTGCTGTTCACACACTGGTCATACCATACCCACTTTGCTGTGGGACAGGAATCTTTAAGGGGAGGTTTCTGTTCATACAATGTTCCTACCATATCCACTTTGCTGTGGGACAGGAATCTATAAGGGGAGGTTGCTGTTCACACACTGGTCATACCATATCCCCTTTGCTGTGGGACAGGAATCTTTAAGGGGAGGTTTCTGTTCATACAATGTTCCTACCATATCCACTTTGCTGTGGGACAGGAATCTTTAAGGGGAGGTTTCTGTTCATACACTGTTCCTACCATATCCACTTTGCTGTGGGACAGGAATATTTAAGGGGAGGTTGCTGTTCACACACTGGTCATACCATATCCGCTTTGCTGTGGGACAGGAATCTTTAAGGGGAGGTTGCCGTTCATACACTGGTCATACCATATCCACTTTGCTGTGGGACAGGAATCTTTAAGGGGAGGTTTCTGTTCATACACTGTTCCTACCATATCCACTTTGCTGTGGGACAGGAATATTTAAGGGGAGGTTGCTGTTCACACACTGGTCATACCATACCCACTTTGCTGTGGGACAGGAATCTTTAAGGGGAGGTTGCTGTTCACACACTGTTCCTACCATATCCACTTTGCTGTGGGACAGGAATATTTAAGGGGAGGTTGCTGTTCACACACTGGTCATACCATACCCACTTTGCTGTGGGACAGGAATCTTTAAGGGGAGGTTTCTGTTCATACAATGTTCCTACCATATCCACTTTGCTGTGGGACAGGAATCGTTAAGGGGAGGTTGCTGTTCACACACTGATCCTACCATATCCACTTTGCTGTGGGACAGGAATATTTAAGGGGAGGTTGCTGTTCACACACTGGTCATACCATACCCACTTTGCTGTGGGACAGGAATCTTTAAGGGGAGGTTGCTGTTCATACACTGTTCCTACCATATCCACTTTGCTGTGGGACAGGAATCTTTAAGTTTCACTGTCACAATTTGACAGCTGATGGATGACCTTGTGTAAAATGAAGCTGTGTTAGATCAGAAACTCTAGCAGGCAAAAGCATGTTTTTCCAAAAACATTATACCCAGTGAAAGGTATAGGCCTGTAAGCCTTTGGTTTTAGGCTGAGTGTTTTGCATAGGCAGAAGTCATTTAGGTTTCAGAGATTATTTCAAATTTAATTCTGTAGCGATTGCTATAATGGGAATTTATTGTGTAGACAGACGTCACCTGGTTTGATCTCAATCAAGTCTACTGTGTGATGTATTGATATTCTTGTCACTTACATGCTTGTGTTTCCTGGCAACATAGAATCCTGGTCAGTAAATGACACACATGCCATAACATGATAGCTTAACTTCATTATACCAAAAATAGCCATCTTAAACTTTATATTTTCTCTTTATAAAATTTATTGTAAGAATTGCTGAATTTTGGCTCAAGACAAGAAGTAAAACAACAACAACAGTGATAATGAAGATACAGGTTGTCATTGTAAAGAAAAACAATGAAATTATAAAAAAGGCTTTGCTTAAGTGCACATGCAAATTGAAAAATTAGGAATAGGAATATATGATGAAAATTGATGTATTATTTGACTGTATTTTTGTGAAGTGTGATTTTATTCTCCTTAAAATATGCCTTTATCAAACTTGCAATAAATCCAGAATAGGGTTCTGATTATCCCAAATAAGCCTGACAAGGTTACAACCAATTTCGATGAACCATGATTTCATATTTGTTCAAATGAATGATATTGACCAGCTTAGAAGGACACTGCGGTCAAAGTCAGTATTCATGCTGATGAGTGACCCGTAGTCATGCTGATGAGTGACCCGTAGTCAAGCTGATGAGTGACCCGTAGTCAAGCTGATGAGTGACCCGTAGTCAAGCTGATGAGTGACCCGTAGTCAAGCCAAGTGTTACATGTACTATACTTTGGCTTTCACATTTCTCAATTCTACTTCTCCATCAATAAATCTTGATAGCACTCAGCAATTTGATGATCATATCAATCTAACAATGCTCAGAAGATTTTGGTCCTGTCTTGTACACGGTATCTATGTCAGCCAGGGATTATCCGTCCTCAGAAAGACGATACAAGACGTGGACAGGGAATTTCCTTGGAGACCGTCAGACAAATATGGTACCAGTCTACCGGATCATACATTGCTGCTGGCCGTGGCAACAAATTATAAGATTGTTCATTTCACCTTCGTTTGAAAATAAGGAAGTCCAAATGTTAAAGTCCAAAGTTCAAAGGTGAAAGCTTGGACTTGCTCAGGGACTCACTTGTGCTGGGCATTGTTAGTTTATAGTGATGGTCTGCAGGCTTTCTTCACTGCACTGTTTTGTTTACAGAACTCAGTAGCTAGACCTGGCAATAGGGTTATAGAAAGTG